TGAGCTAGAACTCACAAATTTCAGCCATGTTTACTCCTTTCCACACCACGAAAGATATTTTCATGAAGTCCAAAATTCAAGATTTTGTGAGTTATAACCCACGATTTTTAGCCATTTTTAATCGTTTTGACCCATTGGCAAATGGTTTCATAGAGTCCAAAAGTCATGATTTCATGAATATAACCCATAATTTTTTTGTCATTTGTAGTCATTTTCATCCATTAGCAAAAAAAATTGTGAAGTACAAAAATCATAATTTCCTGAGCTGCAACTTATGATTTTTAGTTATTGTTAGTCATTTCGACCAATAGATCTATGTTGGTTAAAGATTTAGATTTCATAAGCTATATACCATGATTTTTGGCCAATTTTAAACGTTTTAAACCATTGGCATATAATTTCAAGGTAGTCAAAATTCACGATTTCAAGAACTATAACACATAAGTTTTGGTCATTTTTAGTTGTTTCGACTCATTTGGAATAATTTTGTGGTGTTTAAAATTCACGAATTTATGAGCTATAACATATCATTTTATCTCATTTTTATTTGTTTCAACCCACTAGTAAAAAATTCCGGGGGTAACAAATTCACAATTCAGTGAGCTATAATCCACGATTTTTAGCCTTTTTATTTATTTCAACCCATTGACAAATAATTTCACAGAGTTCAAAATTCATATTTTCATGAGCTATTATCCACATTTTTTATTAATTTTATTAATTTGAAACCGATGTAAAAAAATTAGAGAGTCTAAACTTCAAATTTTTATGATCAATAACTCATAATTTGTTGTTATTTTTAATTGTTTCAACCCCTTGGCAAAAACTTTCACGGCGACCGAAATTCATGATTTAGTGAGCTAAATCTTGAGCAATAACTCACGATTTTTTGCCATTTTTATTTCTTTCAACCCATTGGCAAAAAAATTATGTGGTTGTTAAAATTCATAATTTCATTAGGTTATTACACACGATCTTTTGACAATTTTTCGTCATTTTAACCAATTGCATAAATAAGTTCAAGATGGCTAAAATTTTGGATCTTGTGAGTAATAATCAATGATTTTGGCCATTTTTATTCATTTTGACCTAGTGACAAATAATTTCTAGGAGACCAAGATTTATGTTTTCATGAGCTATAACCTACAATTATTGTCCATTTTCGTTCATTTCGGCCCAAAGGAAAAAATTTCACAGAGTTCAAAATTTATGATTTCAAGAGCTACAACCCTCGAATTTTGGTCATTTTATATCTTTTTGACCAATTGGATGAATAATTTTATGATGGCCAAGATTCATGATTTTGTGACCCATGATTTTTTTGTCATTTTTAGTCATTTCAACCTACTAGCAAATATTTTTGCGGAGTTCAAATATTATACTTTTATGAGCTATAACTCACGGTTTTTATTAATTTTTATTCATTTTGACCCAAGAGAGTCTGAACTTTATGCTTTCATAAGTTATAACACAAGAATTTTTTTACCATTTTTAGTCGTTTCTATCTATTGGCAAAAAAAAAGATAGAGTCTAAACTTCACGATTTTGTGAGCTATAACTTAGGATTTTGGTCATTTTTAGTTGTTTCGACTAATTAGGTAAATAATTTTATGGTGGCCAAAAATCTAGATTTCATGAGCTATAACTTACGATTTTTGGTTATTTTTAGTCATTTCGAATTATTGTCACATAATTTCGTGGTAGCCAAAATTCACGATTTTAAGAGCTATAACGCATGAGTTTTGGTCATTTTTAGTCATTTTGAACCATTATCACATAATTTCATAGAGTCCAAAATTTACTATTTCAGGAGCTGTAACCCACAAAATTTCCCCATTTTTATTCATTACGATCCATTAGTAAAACAATTATGTAGAGTCCCAAATTCCCGATTTTGTGACCTATAATCCATGATTTTTTACTATTTTATGTTTTGACCCATTGGCAAAAGGTTTCATGACAATCAAAATTCACGATTTCATGAGCTAAATCGTGAGCTACAACCCATAATTTTTTGTTATTTTTATACATTTTGATCAATTGGCAAAAAATATTGCAGTTGTCAAAACTCACAAATTTGTGAGCTAAATCGTGAGCTATTACGCACCAATTTTTGCCTTTTTTGTACATTTCGATCCATTGGCAAAGAATTTTGCAGCTATCGAAATTCACAATTTCGTGACCTATAACCCATAAATTTTTGGTCATTTTTAGTCATTTCAACCAATTTGATAAATAAGTTCAAGATGACCATAATCTTCAATCTTGTGAGCAATAACCAATGAATTTTGTCCATTTTTATTAATTTTGACTGATTGGCAAATAATTTTTGGGAGTCAAAAATCATGTTTTCATGAGTTGTAATTTATAATTTTTGTCCATTTCCGTTCATATCAACCTAAAGGAAAAACAAAACTTCACAGAGTCCAAAATTCATGATTTTAAGAGCTACCCCACGAATTTTGGTCATTTTTAGTTGTTTCGACCCATTAACAAATAATTTTTGCAGATTTTAAAATTCATATTTTCATGAGCTATAACCCATAACATTTGTCAATTTTTGTTCATTGTAATCCAAGGGTAAAAATTTCGCGGAGCCTAAGATTTACTATCTTCATAAGCTATAACCCATAATTATTTATCAATTTTAATCGTTGTGACTCATTGGCAAAAAAAATTTATTGTTTTCAAATTTCATGGTTTTTAGAGTTATAATCCATGATTTTGGATATTTTTAGTCGTCTCGACCAATGGGATAAACTATTTCATGTTGACCAAAATTCTAATTTTCGTTAGCTGTTATTTGTCAAATTGGTCAAAACGACTAAAAATCACTAAAAGTCATGAGTTATAACTTTGA